ATGATGGTGACACGTTGATGATGATGGGAGACCACCATCAAAGCGATAGTTGTTGTGTGTAGCCTGTTGCAGATCCGTGACCTTCTGGAGAGTGGGTGCACTGGTGCTGGACTGCTGGTCCTTGCTGCTGCGGTGCTTTTTTTTTTGAGTGGAAGCTGCTGCGGTGCTACACGGCGCGGGTCGGGTCAGAATGAGAGGGAAAGGGGACTGACGGACCAGGCTGAGAAAGGAAGAGGCCGGCAGAAAATAAAAGAGGGCCAGGCTACGAAGATTAACAGGCCAGAATTCGACTGCAATCGGGCTGCGGCTAGGGAGGCTTTCCTTTTTATTGGAAAAGCATTCCTAAGATATTTTCAAGGAGTTTTAGTTCACAACCAGTTGAAGCAAACCTAGACTGATCCATTCAAAACCCAGCTGCACACATGCAACTGGACTGCATGAAATGCATAAATCAAATTAAAAAAACAGGTTTTATTAAAATAGTTTGGAATTAGGATTTTGAAAAGGATACGTAACAATAGTTTAGGTTGAGTTTGAGTGTCAACTCGAATTCAACTAGGTTCTACATTTGGAAGGTAATCTTTGGGGGGAAATAAACTAGGTTTAGAACAAAAGAATTTGCTATTCTTATATTTTTTCTAAATACCTAACAAGCGTATTTTTACTCAAAAATTTCAAGTTGGGATTTTTAAATAGGAGATGTGGTTTTACCCTATTTGTTCACTGCTAGAAAAAACGTTAGGAGATAAGCTCTCTGATTAATAGAGGCAGTCGCAACTAGGGACCACCTCCGTAAAATGGTTAGGAGGCCTTCAGGCAAACGCCCACAAATGTTGATCATTTATAGAGGCGGAGATCCTAAGGCGGACGCCACTATAAATCATCGATCTACAAAGGCAAACAAGTTAAGATGTCCATCTCTGAAAATCAGTATCGATGGAGGCGGCCATTCTAAGGGTCAGTCTCTAAAAATTGCGGGCATCTTAGGAAGCTCGTCTCTAAAAATAGTTACATCAAAACATAATTCATAACTTTTTCTTACGAAGTCAAATGAAGACAAACTTTGTATCACTTGAAGCGATACAACTTTGTGGTTGACAAGTTTTTCATTTGAAACTGTTTAGAGTCATAAAATATTAATTTAAATTCACGAATTTTTAAAATTTAAAATTTCAAACAAACTTCAATGTTGACATGGTTTATATCAATGTTGTACTTCTCAATACAATCTACAACATTGTAGTTTAAAAGTTTCTTATTTGAATTTCTTTAGAGTCCTAACTATATGTTTTAAGTTCATAAGTTTTGAAATTCAAAAGTTAGAATTTTCGAACAACCTTGAATGTTCACATAGTTAATAACAAAGTTGTCGTGGCTAGCTTAATCTACATGGTTGTTGTTGGTAAGTTTTTTATTCGAACAACCTTGAAGTTTTTTTATTTTAAATTCACAAATTTTGAGATTCAAAATTTTGAATTTCCAAACAATCTCGCATGGAGACACATCCTATACCAAAGTTTTAATGCTTAACATTTGATAAGTTTTAAAACTTCATAGTTGAAACTTTTTTACTCTAGGTGGATCTGCATCACCTAGACATCTTGGTGGTGGTGTTGCTCTTGTTGATTATTCTGTGGCATTTGTGAGAATCCCAAGAAGGTGTACATGGTTGTGGTGATCCAACTTTCCACAGTGGACAAGGGACAAGGATCAACAAATAGAGAGCTCATGGTCCATGCATGGATCAAGGGAGCTAAATCCTTGTGCGGGTGCTCCATAAAGGACTAGTGAGGAGTGTCGACTATCTGATACCTTAGGAATAAATATTCGTGTTTCTAACCCTCTTTCCTTTTCATATTTACTTTGATGCAATTCACATTCTTAAAATTGTCATGTTAGTGTATGGTTCGAACCTAGGGTGCAAAACTTTGTGCAGTAGGAATAGAACACTTGTTAGGTAGAATGGGTGAATTTGACTAAGCTATAGGTTATATTTCATTGAAAAGTTTAGATTAGTCCAATTTACCCCACTCTTGGGCATCTTGAACTTTCTAGTGCATGTGTCTTAGGGTGATCATAAGGATCAAAACCTAAAGCAATTTTATGTGTGCTAGTCTTTCATTCCAAAATTTTGATTCAAGTTTTATTCCCATCTTCCCTTGCAAGTATTCAATATGCTTCAAAAGGGTAGAACAAGTTTCATGAGGATCATTCTTAAATTTATCCTTTTTACCACAATTAGAGCATGAGTGAACCTCACGAGTAGCCATTATCTTCAATTGTGCTATTTTGAGATTAACATCTTTCAACATTTATCACAAAAAGTTGGTTTAACAATAGCACAAACATGTTTGTCATTTTTGTATTTTTTATCCTTAAGTTGCTCTAGAGTAGAAGCATGCATATCTCATAGAGAAATAAATTCATCGTAGACAAATTCACATAATTTGCAAGAATCATCACCAGGAATCAAAATTTTAAGTCTAGCAATTTCAGCATGTTAAGATTCAATCAAAGCATCCTGTTTTTAATATTTTTATTTCTTTTATCTAGAGTAAAGTGCCAATTTTTCCAATAGCATAAGCTAAATCATCATAAAAAGGTTATAATTAGTTCACTGCGTCGTTGTTGATGAAACTATTGATGGAGCTTTTGTTGCTTGCCATCGGACACAACCTAATTAAATGTTTCTTGCCATTGGAGTATCATTCTCACTGACTTTATCCACATCACTCAAGTTGATTTGATCGAGAGCTTTCTAACTTAGTCTAAAAATGGTCATTAAAATGGCAAGTTAGATTAGAATAAGGTGAAGACATTGGGTACAAAAAACAGCATCGAGTACCAATTGATGATGTTGAAGATCCCCCCACAAGTGTTGTTTCCAAGGTTATGTATGTTGATTTGTCAAATGCTCTTTCTGCTAATCAATATTTTCCCTTGACTAATAGCATTCTCTCTGAATTTAGTGTTAAAACATCAATTTCTCCATAAAGATAGTTCTAGTCCTCATCGACCAAGTTCCATCTTAAGTGACACCTACACATGAACAAACATGAAACCACGTATGGGCACAAGTCGATGACTTAACCCTCAAGTTAATCTGCACAATACCTCACATGAGCGTATCATGCAATGTATAAAACCACTACACTATCACGAGTATATCCAACCATCTTGCTATCACAAGCATAAAAAATAAACACATGATTAGCACCCTATGCCATATTTTAATCACTTTGCATTGCCAATTTAATTTATCTCAAGTCTCAAATCAAAAGTTCATCACATGATCTCACAGAGTAGTAGGTAGGGTGAAAATGGTTGGGATAAATCCTGTTCCGTTCCGTCCTGATTTCTACATCTAACCCACTCGAATTCGTATTGATAGTCGTTCTGACTGTTTTCGACAAATCAAAAAATGGGAGAAAAACGATATAGCTATTTTTTTTACCGCTTTTGTTGGGATATCCCGTTTTTACCGGTTTTAGCCCTGTCCATGATAGACTAACGTTTGGCTTGTTGTATTTAAGGACTTATGGTCTTGCCTCTTATACTCTTGTCATCTTAGAACCTTATGATATGAATTAGCATTATCTATGTGCTGGCAGTGTTGCCATGCCAGGTTGGTTATGTCAGTATGTGAAGTTAGGTTTCTTGGTTCTTCTATGGTGTTGACATTCCTATTTTCTCTTTCCGTATCCCGACCGTTATTGACATGTCTCCATTCGAATTGACCTGTTATCTATTTCCGTCCTATTTTTGTTCCCGTTTCTGGCTTTCCCGATTCTAATTTTGTTTTTTGTAATAAAATATTAAAGTGAAAGCGAGAGAGGGTTTATCCCCACTGATCCCATTCGTCTCACAAGGGCTGATGGTCTAGTTTGTTGAAGACATTCATATAGATAGGGTGCATATCTGTGTTCGTTTATAGGGTGAGCATGCCTTTTTTCAATAAGGAAAACTTTATTAACTTCAAGATCGTTATATCGAGATAATTGATACAAAGACCTTGAAACACTTTCGGCCTCTGTATAATAAGGATACACACAACCTTACAAAAAATCTTTAAAAAATAGACACACTAATACGTAATACCACTCAATTCGAAGGCTAAACTGCCACGCATGTATTCGGGTAAAAAACTCTTTGGCCATCCGCGCCAATTGTTGAGATGCCGCTATAACAAAATCTTGTGAAGTTGGCTTCCGTAGAACAATCCATGTACGAAGCTAATATATAATCGAGTAGAAAACCTATAGAGGAAAAGAAGTTGTTTCTTTTCAAAAACTAGGTCATTCCTACATAACCAAAGCGACTAACATATAGCTGCTGCTCCTAACAAGGCTAACGATTTCAATTCTTTACTAAGACCGCAGAGCTAAGACCCAAACAAGCTTGATACACTATGCGGCCGTTGAATACTAGACGAGACAGCTCGAGTAAAACGGCACCCAAAAAACAGGTGCTTCATGCGTAGATATACATGATATCCTTTCCAGTGTTTTACAAAAGAGCTTCTGCTGATAATCATCCTCCAAGTTCAAGAGAGGGTGCAACATAAACAAGCAATCGACACGTGTGGCTCACAATCACAGTCACGGAGCACAACTGAAGTAATATATAAAAGCAAACAGCTGACCAGTCAGACAGTCAACTCCTTTTGAGAGAGCACACAAGACAAAAAAAATTCGCTAACAAGCATTATATGAAAAGCACCCTAGATGACAAACCAACACGAAGGGCACATTGCTATAAATGGCGCAAACCTTCCTACGGTGCTTCGCCTGTTCGTTTCGCTGATAAGCCACTGAAAGTATTGTTGGCTGATTTGTTGTGAGAGAAAAATATCGTTCGTTGGCTGAAAAAATACGGCTTATAAGCTAAGCGAATATGACGCTCGTTTGTGTGTGGATGGTAGTAGTAGTGTACACGCTGTCCACACGCAGAGCTCTGCACCAATCCCCCTGACGAGGCTCGAGTCACCAGAGCGTAACTCCATGGCCGCCTCGTCTCCAGTGATCCTATGGCTGCAGCGTCCTCTCTTCACCATCATCCTAGTTGCTCTCTCAGTGACAGTGCTGCCGGTGGCGCTGGCAGTCGCAGCAGCTAGAGGCGAGCAGGAGAGCGACCGGGTGGCGTTCCTCCCCGGGCAGCCGAGGAGCCCTCCGGTGTCGCAGTTCGCCGGGTACGTCACCGTGAACGAGCACAACGGGAGGGCGCTCTTCTACTGATTCTTTGAGTCTCAGACGTCGCCGGCGCACAAGCCTCTCCTGCTCTGGCTCAATGGAGGTACTCGACTCGACCACTTGCTTGCTCTGTTTGTTCATACAAAAATACTCTCCTATTCTCTTTATTTATTCATGGTCATTTCTTATATACTTCATTCACACGACTATGCAGTGCCCAACGAGTCACGTTGAACACTTACCTAACATTGAGCGATTCTTGTTTTTATTAATTAATTATTACTTCATTCCTGCACGGAACTGTCAATACATTTTTTAGATAATGAAAAAAGAATCCAGCTTCATCCTTAAAAAAGAAATTTAGACTAACCTATTACTCCCTCCATCCCAAATTAGAAGTTATTCCAACATTTTTGAAGAGGTCAAAGCATTTTTAGTTTGACCAAATTTATATAATAAAATTTATGATAATAAATAAGTATAGTTAGATGCTTCATTAATTATATTTTCAAAGTATACGTATTTATTGTCATAAATCTTTGTAATTTTATCTATAATTTAATCAAACTTTAAATGTTTTGACTCTCCTAAAATATTGTAATGATTTGTAATTTGGAACGAAGGGAGTACAAAGTAACCACTACAACGACTGGACATGAACAGCCATTGTCTACTGAGGAAGACGTACAGTGAAATGAATTTGCCTATAATTTATTTTTCTAATTTGATCTGTACATACCCGCAAAAAAAGAAAACATTTGATCCGTACATACCCCTCAGTAAACTGAATGTGCATGTTCTATCAGGCCCTGGTTGCTCGTCTGTAGGCTATGGAGCATCGTCAGAACTGGGGCCTCTCTTGGTCAATGGCAACGGGACTGGCTTGGAGTTCAACAAATTTGCATGGACCAGAGGTCTGCTGCTCTCTTTCCTGCTCTGAATTTCTACTTTTTTTTTGAGTGGATGCTCTGAATTTCTACTGCTTAGTCACATCGGTAACGCTGCCAGGCCCAGGGCTCGCCGTGACGGGGCCATGGCGTGTCGATCCCTCTCCACTTGTCTAGTTGATGTAACCTAGGCCCTCTCTCTCGCCATTTTTTTTTTCGGTGCTCATATTTTAAGTTAGCCCTCTCGGCGGGTCTTAATCAATTTCAGGGCGTGTCCACCCTCCATTTTTTTTTAGAAACTGGAGGGGCCGAAGTCCCTACAGCTAAAATTTATTGCAAGCAGAAAAAAGAGCACAGAATTTACAAACAAAATAGGGAACAAAAAAAAAACAATTGTTGCCTCAAAACAAAAAACATACAAAGTTTGATGATTTTAATTTTTTATGAGAACCAACACTTCATCTATGAAATAGGTTCTATATCTTTCCTCTTTCGATGTATCTGATTTTATGATTTTCCTAAGGTTCATGTTTCTCTATTTATTTGATCAGCTGTTTACCTAATAACTCTGTAAAACTTGACTGTGTGTGGTTGTAGAGGCCAAAACTGTTCTATTTTCAGGAAAAAAATGAATTTGTCCATGTTACCATGTATCAGCAGATAACTCATCAGTTTTTTTTAATGCCAGAAGCCCCTCAAGAAATCTAGCATACATAGAACTTGTTATTGTCCACTTTTTTCCTTTGATTTATGTTTCATGCAAAATAAGGTGATGCTCAGTATAGTTTCACAAATTTCCTATAACTCAATTTTGTTTTCCTTGGTCTAAATTTGATCAGAGACAAATTTGCTGTTCTTGGAGTCTCTTGTTGGAGTTGGCTTCTCATACTCAAATACCACCTATGACCAAGACAACATAGACGACGGCTTTGTTGGTGAACTGAAAGTCAAGATTGAATTGGTTCCTAATCGAAAATTTTATGAACAATCCAGCCGAGGACTCCTACACCTTCTTAGTGAATTGGTTCAGAAGGTTTCCTCAGTACAAGAGCCATGACTTCTACATCTCAGGAGAGAGCTATGCAGGCAATTCAGTGGGCAGACAGCTCGATCCCTTTCTCCCAACAAACAAATTGCAAGGTTGAACAAGCCCACGATGAAAGGGCATTGCCTTTCGCCTTTCTTTAATATTTGGTAAAGTTAGCACGCAGAACAGGAATATGTTTTTTTGAACGAAGAACAGGAATAATTCGTTCCTATGTTTCCACTGTACACTATTCTCTAGTCAAAAAAGGTCACACGCGTTCCTATTCTGTACAGTCTTTGGTCCATGACGTCACAGGAATAATTCGTTAGGTCCTGAACCAACTCGACGGGAATTGTTCTGTAAAAAAAATGCGTCAAGGCTTTGTAGATTGGAACAGCTCCTTTTGGTTGTTATTGCAAAAGAAATAAAAAACATAAACGAAAATGAGACCTAACCTACCTAAGAGAAAGTAGATGATTTTCAGAAAAAAAAAATCGGCTCCTAAATTCAAGTCCTAACCCAACCAGCCGAGCTAAGCTCCTCCTTTCTAAAACAAAAAGGAACACTGATATTGAGTAGAAAAATGGCTGATCCAACAAATCTGAAGTGGAATGGTATCAAAATTAAGTATGGTGGTTATCCTACTGGCCTGAGTATGACACAACAAACACATGAGGATCTATATATGCGGCAAGAGACAACCAGTCAATGTTTAAAACACATGCGACACAATCTTTAATTTATTCGGATTCTGATGAAGTCTAATGCGACAGGTCATTACGTTTCCACAGCTAGCTGAGATGGTGTATGTGTTGGTCCCGACACCGGGGTTCTCGCACACACATTCGATGACGTTAGGTACAAGAGAGAGGAAGAATAGAGCGTACAAACACAACACAAGCACCAGCATTGTCCGGAACTCTACAGAGCAGATGGCAAAACTGAACTCTCTCTTTTTACCAAGTTACAGTGGGAAGCTATATATACAACTCTACCTATCTAATCATAGTATACAGACATGTCAGGCTGCCATGCTGCTACAGTGACTAGATACGACAACATGGCTGACTTTGGCGTCTGCCCCTGCTGTGGCTACATTACGGCAGGGGAGCCTTTCGGCGCCTGCCCCTGCCGCGGCTACAGTGCAGCAGCAGGGGAGCCCTTTGGCACCTGCTCCTACCGTGCGTACAGTAGCAGATTACTTTATAATTTTTTTTCTAATCCTGCTGCTAACCCTAGAACCTCCACCATACCGATCATCTTCTTCAGTTCCGTGAACCGAAGACGACCGAGCGGCTTGGTGAGGACGTCCGCGTGTTGCCGACCAGTTTCGACTTACTCGATGACGATATGCCCTTCATCGACACAGTCCCTAAGGAAGTAGAACTTGACGTCGATGTGCTTGCTCCGGTTGTAGAGAATCGGATTCTTCGCGAGGGTGATGGCAGGCTGGTTATCCACCATCAGTGCTGATGGGTGAGCTTCCACACCGATCCGCTCATCCAGCAGCCGGCGTAGCCACACAGCTTGGCACGCCGCTGTGGCCGCCACCACGTACTCTGCCTCGCACGTGGACAGCGTCACCACCTTCTGTTTCAGCAACAGCCATGAGATTGGAGCCGACCCAAGGAAGACGATCACGCCAGAGGTGCTCCGCCATCCGTCGATGTCCCCGGCCATGTCTGCATCGCTAAACACAGTGAGCTGCAGCCCACTCTGTCGGTCTTGGGGAAGACGATCACCTGAGCCACCGTCCCCTTGACGTAGCGCAGTAGCCGCTTCAACACGGCCTAGTGATCCTCTCAGGGATCCTCCATGAAGCGGCTGACGTAGCCCACGACCTACGCAATATCCAGCCTCGTGTGGACTAGATAGCGCAGACCACCGACGATGCTCTGGTAGAGTGTTGCATCTACCTTCGCCGCGGTACTAGCCTTCGTTAGCTTCAGCTGCTCCTCCATAGGAGTCACGCACAGCTTGTACTCAGCCATGCCGGTCCGCTCCAACAGCTTCAGGCATATGCGCTCTGATCGAGCGTGAGCGCCTCCTTCCCCTGTCTCACCTCGATGCCGAGGTAGTAGGAGAGCGCGCCGAGATCGCTCATTCGAAAATGAGCCGCCATCTCATGTTTGAAGCTGTCGATGTCCTCCGCACGCACACCGACGATGATCAAGTCGTCCACATATACGCCGACGATGAGCTCCTCCTTCCCCCATCGTCGCGTGTAGAGCACATGCCCGGTTGCGCACCGCGTGAACCCAAACTCGCCCAGCGTGGTGTCAAGCTTGGCGTTCCATACTTGTGGGGCCTGTCGTAGCCCGTAGAGTGCCTTGCGCAGTCGGAGCACCATGTGCTCTGCATCCTTGACGGCGAACCTTGGAGGTTGCCTGACGAAGACCATCTCCGCCAGCTCACCATTGAGGAAGGCTGATTTTATGTCCAGGTGATGGATGCGCCCGTCCTTCGCTGCTGCCAAAGCTAGCAGCAGTCGGATAGACTCCATGCGCGCTACCGGCATAAAGACTTCCTTGAAGTCGATGCCCTCGCGATGGACAAAGCCTCGGGCGACGAGACGTGCCTTGTGCTTGACAATGGCGCCGCGCTTGTCTCACTTGACCTTGTACATCCACTTCAGGCTGATCGGACGACATCCTAGAGGTGGATTAACGAGCTCCCAAGTCTCGTTTTCCTTGATCGCCTTCATCTCCTCCAGCATCGCCCGTCGCCAATTTGCATCGCGCTCAGCCAGCGTGAATGTGGGTGGTTCCTCTGCACTGACGAGAAGCAGCTCTGGGTCATTGAGCAGCCGACTTGCCAGGCCTGAGGACCCTGTGCCGCCGATGATGTCGTCTAGCCTGTGGAACCGCACCTCTTCACCATTGTGGAAGGCATCCACGAACTCGATGATGTCGCTTGGAGGTGAGGCGAACTCGATCGGCGTCAATGGAGTCTCCTGTTCCACCAGAGTGGTTGGCACAGCACCTGCAGTGCTCGGCACCACGGCTGCAGTGCTTGGCACTACTCCTGGACCGCTTGTCACCACTCCTGGAGTGGTTGGCACCACTGCAGGAGTGCTCGGCACCAGTCTTGGAGTGGTCGGCACCACTGCAAGACCTCTCGGCTCCGTTACGGGAGCGTTCGGCACCTATCCTAGAATGGTCGGCACCGCTGTAGGACCGCTCGGCACCACTCCTAGAGCGCTCGGCACCCCTCCCGTAGTGATCGGCACCGCCCCAGGAGTGCTTAGCTCTGTTGCTAGAGTGGTCGGCATCTCCTCTCCAGCGTCTCCACCACTGTGGATGACCAAGTGCTCGACGACGAAGGTGCTGGTGAAGCCGCCAGCTTCCCCCGTGCCCGGACTGTCCTAATCCTAGGCTGCCTTCTCATTGAACACGACGTCGCACGAGACAACCACCTTACCTTCGCGTGGGTCATAGAGCCGGTACACCTTGGTACCTTCCTCGTAGCCCAAGAGCACCATCAGTGTGCTCCTGTCCTCCAGCTTGGTGAGGACTAGCTTCGTCTTCTTGATGTGGCCGATGCAACCGAATGTCTGGAGGAAGGACACGCTCGGCTTGCGCCCATACCAAGCTTCGAACGGTGTCACACCATTCAGGGCCTTTGTGGGCGCGTGGTTGAGGATGAACACCGCCATGGCCACCGCCTCACCCTAGAACCTTGTCAGCATGCTCTTAGCCTTCATCATGAATCGAGCCGTGCCAACCACCTTCTGGTTTGTCGCTCCACCACGCCATTCTGCTATGGCGAGTACGGCGCAGTGTGGTGCCGCACCACACCCTGATCCACGTAGTACGTAATGAACTCCATCGAAGTGAATTCACCGCCGTGATCAGTTCGCAGCACGCGCAGCTTCTTGTCGCTCTCTGCCTCCGCGCGCTGCCTTGAACTTCTTGATCGCTTCTGCCACCTCGTCCTTGTTTGTTAGGAGTTGCAGCCACATATAGCGAATGCAATCATCCATAAGTAGGAGGAAGTATCACCGACCACCGTTTGTGGCTGGCGTGATTGGCCCACAGAGATCACTATGGACGAGCTCGAGAGCGTCCGCCACGCGATACTTGGCCGCCTTTGGGAATGGCAGCCTCCTCTGCTTTCTGGCCAGGCAGCTGTCACATAGCTCACCTGCGTGCTTGATGTGGGGCAGCCCTTAGACCATCTTCTCCAGCCGATCGAGTGTGTCAAAGCTAAGATGGTCGAACCGGGCATGCCACAGCCATGGCTCCTCGGTGTGCCGTGCTGCCAGGCACACCGACTGCTCTACCTTCAAGTCAAGCAGGTACAATTGATTACGTGAGCGTTTTACCTTCGCGAGAAGACGCCACTCCTGATCCTAAATCTTTAGGATCCCTCTCTCGATCAGTACCTCGCATCCGCGCTCGTCCAACTGCCCGATGCTTGAACACAGCTGTGGGATGTAGTACACATCCGTCAGCGCATGGTGCTCACCATTCTAGCACCTAAAGATGATGGTGCCGCGCCCTCAAATCGCCACCCTTGAGCCATCACCAAACTTCACCATGCCGGTCACATTGTCGTCGAGATCAGAGAAGGCTTCCTTAGAGCCCATCATGGAATTGCTGGCGCCAGAGTCCAGGTACCACCGCTGCTTCTGCTCGTCGCCCACACATTCGAGGTGGACTTGGGCGCGCGGTTCATTGAGGTTGACAGCCTTTAGAGCCTTGCCATGCCCTTCCATCACCATCACCTCTCCCTTCTCCTTGGCCTCAATGTCGTGCAGTGCACAGAATGTCACCATTAGGAGAGTGGCCTCATCATCCTCATCAGCCTGTGCTAAATGAGCCTCAGCCTTCTTCTCCTGCTTATGATTTGGGTACTCCTTTGCCCAATGGCTTGTCTTACCGCAGTGTCGGCAAACGTTGGGGTCGACCTTCTTCTTCTTCTTCTTCTTCTCCGAAGAAGCTTTACCGTGGCACTTGCTATCGCCACTGTGGCTGGAGGAGGCTTCCCTGGACTTCTTCTCCTTCATCCGGGTAGCCCACTCCTCCTCTATAGCAGCAGCTTGCCGCTGTTCGTCGTTGCTGTGGCCTGCTCCATGCGTTCGTCCACCACCCACAAACGACCTATCACATCCTCAATGGTGAGGGTGGACAAGTCCAGCATCGTCTCATGGAGAGAGCAATCTAGATGTACTTCACCTGCACGGAGTGGAGGTACTTGTAGACCGCCTCTTCTTCGTTGATGGTGACGCCGTGGCTCCTCAGCTTGCTGATGAGCGACTGCAGGCGGAGGGAGAAGTCCTCCACCGACTCACCATCCTTGAACTTGAGGTTGGCGTACTTCTGCTTCAGCAGCTGGGCCATCGTTTTCTTTGTGCGGTCAGAGCCGACGCGCATCGCTGCAAGGGCCTCCCACGCCTCCTTAGCAGAGTTTTTCGTCCCCAACGGCTCCCTGTACTCCGCTGGCACAACAGCGAGGATAGCCTCCAACGCTGACATGTTGTCTTCTTTGTTGTCGGTGCCCTTATCAATGGCATTCCAGAGCCGTCGGGCTCTGAGCTTGACCTTTATGGTCACCGCCTACTTGTCATAGTTGGTGCGAGTCAGCGTCGGCCAACTGGTGCCACTAACCTCCCGCACCATGCGTACGATGACCTCTTGTCGTGGCTGGGCAGCCCCAGCAGCGCTGCTGCTGGCGCCCATCTCTGAACCGTCCGTCATCGTCAGCGGTTAGTCCAGCGACGACGCTTGTACAACTCCGATACCACTTGTTGGTCCAGAGATCTCCCGCACGGGTGAGCCAACCGCTCACCGGCGTTCTCGCACACACTCTACGGCTTTAGGTAGAAGAGGGAGGGAGAACAGAGCGTAGACACACAGCACAAGCACTAGCGTTGGCCGGAGCTATGCAGAGGAGATGGTAAAACTGAACTTTCTCTTTTTATTGTGTTGCAGTGAGAAGCTATATATATATAACTCTACCCATCTAATACTAGTACACAGACATGCTAGGTTGTCATACTGCTACAGTGACTAGATGTGACAGCAGGGCTGACTTTGATGCCTGCTCCTGCTGTGGCTATAATGCGGTAGAGGAGCCTTTCGACGTTTGTCCCTGCCGCGGCTACAGTGCATCAGCAGGGGAGCCCTTTGGCGCCTGCCCCTGCCGCGCGTACAGCATGGAGAGCAGCAGATTACTTTACTGTATGAGCGCAACAAACATCTTGAAACAAATCAGCGTATCAATCTGAAAGGATTTATTGTAAGTACCAAAAGCCATCTTATTTTCGTTTTTGTATTTCAGAATCCGGAATTAATTTGTAACTCGAGGAGTTTATATGGAACTATCTTTGATAGGTTGGCAATGCAGAGACTGATGCTTACTATGACTACAAGGGGCTACTTGAGTTTGCGTGGAGCCACTCGGTGATATCAGATCAACTTTACAAGCACGTAAAAGACGTTTGCACCTTCAGGACTATCTTCCTTACTGGGGAATGCACCCATGCAATGAGCCTTGTATACACACAATATGATAAGATTGATATCTACAACGTATACGCACCCAAGTGCAATACTGATGAGTCAGCACTTTCATCCAGTTCTAAAAATACAGTAGAAAAGACAGCCAAGGTAATTGCACATTTCAGTAACTTCTGCTGGTACTTTAGAAATATTGCAATAGAATGAAAATGAAGATAACTGGATATGTTTTTTCTATCAGAAGTTCAAAAGATTGAGGATGTTCTCAGGATATGATCCATGTTACTCAATCCACATTGAAGATTACTTGAATAGGATTGATGTACAGAAATCACTTCACGCGAATGTCAGTGGATGGATCAAGGATAGAAGATGGAGTATCTGCAGGTGGTATATATGTGCATGAGCTTCCTTGTTATCCATCCCTAGTAGTAATTGGATACCGGACATGACTTATTTTCATAACATTGTTGCAGCGACTCAGTTTTTGACAACTATTATGACACCATATTTACTGTTCGTCCTATTTACTCAAAGCTTGTCAAGACTGGATTAAGAGTTTGGGTCTACAGGTTTGGCTCCTGCAGTTTACTTGTTTACTTCTGAATCAAAGCAACGGATCAACTGTTACACTAGAAATTGGAAAGAGGAGTAGACCTATATGATTTCCATTGCTTCTATATTTACAATGTTCCATTATGTTTTTTAGCAAATTTGAGCGGGAGCTCTCTGCACTGGGCATGCCCTTTAGTTTCTTGCAATAACTCGGTCTGCCCTTAAATACTTTCAGTTGACTTACTGAATTCCTTAACTGCAAGAAATGCTTCGGGACCTGTTCTTATATTTCGCTTGATTTCTGATACTGATCGGAATTATGGTTACTTGATATTTGGCACTTACAGTACATTTTTTCTTTCTTCTGTTACAGTGGAGATATGGATGGCAGAGTTCCAATTATTGGGTCACGGTACTGGGTAGAAGCGCTTGGCCTTCCTGTCAAGTCACAGTGGCAACCATGGTACCTGAACAGTCAGGTTCGCTACCATACAGCGTGCCATACAATTTCCTTAATCCACTATAAAGTGTTTACAAAATGAAAACTGGAAATTCAGCTTATATGCAATGTTCGTTTGATGTTGAACACAATGCAGGTTACTGGAAGGTTTGTTGAGTATGAAGGATTGACACTGTTGACTATCAGAGGAGGAGGCCACGATGTGCCTCAAGACAAGCCAGCAGAGGCGCTTGTCTTAATCAGTTCCTTCCTTTCAGACAGACAACTGCCAACGGAAAACAACTGATGGCTGCAGAATAATTTATGTTGCGACCGACACAACAGGTCATGCAGTATAGGATCATTGATATATTTAAGGGCTTAAATTGCTGAGTCAGAAAGGCCACATTGTTGGTACATGGTTGTAGCTTTAAGAGATCTCGAAGCTGCTAAAACTTTGAGAGTCCAGTGTGTTAGTTGTTAGTGAATATCCTGCTGATGTCGATTAACAACCTCTCAGACCTTCATGCCTTGTACTCTCTCCGTTACAAATTATAGGCCGTTTTGACTTTTTTTTTACATAGAATTTGCTATGTATATAGATATATATTATATCTAGATGTAAAAAATAGAGTTAACGAGATGCCTCTCCTTGAGGCTCTCGTCTTCGTGTTTATAGGACTAGAAACAACCCCTGGTGTAGCTTGTACAACACTTCAAGTTACAAGGGATAGACTCAACGACAACCTAACAATATCTCCTAACTTCATGTACAAGATGCGGCGCATGTTCCTCACAACTATGCGCCGGCTAACAAACCCTATAGGGCTAACTAGTTCCGCTAATACCCCCACTCAATCTCAGCCGGCCACTAGGTTGAGATTGGCTCTGAACTTATCAATCTTGGCTACCATAACTGGTTCGGTAAATCCATCTGCTAGCTGATCTTCAGTGTGAATCCATCGGATGTCTAGAAATTTCTGTGCTACCCTTTCTCTAACAAAATAAAAATCTATCTCAATGTGCTTAGTCCGAGCATGGAATACAGGATTAGCAGAGAGATAGGTAGCACCTAAATTGTCACACCACAACCGAGCTGCCCGAGGACGCTGAACTCCCAATTCATCAAGCATTTTTTGAATCCACATCACTTCGGCTGTAGCATTTGCTAAAGATTTGTATTATGCCTCTGTACTTGAACGTGATATTGTGGCCTATTTCTTAGCACACCATGAGATCAGGTTTGATCCGAAGAACACACCAAAACCTCCCGTGGAACGCCTATCATCAGGGCATCCTGCCCAGTCGGCATCAGAGAAGGCACTCACAATTGTTGATTTTGACCGACCTATCTTGAGTCCCAAACTCAAGGTTCCCTGCACATATCTCAATATCCTCTTCACTGCACCTAAGTGTGTTGTAGTTGGCGCGTGAAGAAATTGGCAGACCTTATTCACAGAGAATGAAAGATCCGGTCTAGTCAGTGTGAGGTATTGTAGTGCCCCCACTATACTCCTGTACCGAGTAGCATCTTCAGATCCAAGAGGCTGACCTTCAGATGCACTAAGATTCTCAGCAGAAGAAAGGGGAGTATCCATAGGCTTGCATTTGCTCATTCCTGCCCATTGTATGACATCAGCAGCATATCTCTCTTGTGAAAGCTTCAGTCCATCATGAGATTTCTTCACTTCTATGCCCAAAAAATAGTGGAGATCACCCAAGTCCTTCAGGGCAAATTCTTTCTCCAAATCCTTGAGCAATGCAACAGTTGCTTCTTGTGACGAGCTTGCCACTATTATGTCATCCACATAAACTAGGACAAACATAGTATATTTTCCTGTCCGATAATAGAACAGCGAAGTATCTGCCTTTGATGGTACAAAACCCAAAGCTTCCAATTTCCCACACAACCGAGCATACCAGGCACGTGGTGCCTGTTTAAGTCCATACAGAGCCTTATCCAATTTGCAGACAAGATTGGCCCCTTCTTTACTAGCATATCCAGGTGGTTGCCGCATATAAACCTCCTCTTCTAGTATGCCGTGTAGAAAGGCATTTTGTACATCCAATTGACGAAGTGACAATCCTCTTGATACAGCAATGGACAATATGAGACAAATGGTAACTGCCTTGACTACAAGACTGAAGGTGTCCTCATAGTCAATTCCATATCGCTGCTTGAACCCCTTCGCAACTAAACGAGCTTTATATCTGTCAAAGGTTCCATCTGCCTTTCTCTTGATCTTGTAAACCCACTTGCAATCAATGATATTTTTACCACGAGGAGGTGACACAAGGTGCCAAAGTCTTGTTTTGCAACAAGGCTCTATATTCTGCATCCATTGCCGCTACCCCCTAGGATGTTGAAAAGCTTCTTGAACAGTAGCTGGTCCCTCAGCTGTAGTAGCGGTCATGCACCACCGTACAGTGCCATCAGTGTACTACTTTGGGTTGCGAACTCCCTGTTGTAGTCTGGCAATAGGACGAGTAGGAGGATCAGCGGCGGAAACAGGAACCAACGTAGAGTGCTCACCCATAGACGATCAGGGTGAATCCTCCTGTCGGGGACCAATACTAGGGTACCCGAAGAGGAGGAGCTAATGACCATCAACATTGATTCGTCCGCGCAGTCAAGAGCGCGACTACGCCTCTCGCCGGGCTCCACCTTGTCCGGCCACCGAGGCCATGGGCCCTGCCTCGTCTGACCTCCGAGGGTTGGCTCTGCCTCGGTGGACGTTGCAGCCGCAGGCTCTACCTCACCCGACCCCCGAGGGTTGGCTCTGCCTCGGCTGACTCCTGAGGGTTGGCTCCACCTCACCCGACGTCTGAGGGCTGACTCCCCCTTGCCGGACGTCTAAGGGCTGGCTCTGCCTCGCCTGACGTCTGAGGGCTAGCTCCACCTCGCTCAACGTCTGAGGGCCAGCTCCGCCTTGCCCAATGTCTGAGGGCCGGCTCTGCGTCGCCCGATGTCTGAGGGCCGGCTCCGCCTCGCCCGACGTCTGAGGGCTGGCTCCGCCTCACCCGAAATCCCTCGGGCATGGATCCTTACGGAAGCTCACGACAACCACTACGGTCTAGAAGGTGTGACCCAAGGTCAAACTTCTAGAATCATGCAGGGAGCGGTCACATCTTAGCACGACCCATCCCCGCGACATGTCATTCCAGGGAACTCACGTCACCCACAGTGATGGACGTGTGGTCACTGTGCTGCCTACTCCCTGTATAGCCACTGATCAGCACGCTGGTTCGCCGCGCCGCCCGCTAGGGTGGAGTGGGATGTGACGGCCCGCTGACAATGCCGGGGCATGGCATTGTCAGCGGACAGGAGCCTGGCGTGGCCCTATCATGGTCAGCGGACAGGCGCCCAGCGTGGGGCTATCCCTGTCACCGCCTGTCATGTCAGTGGGGCCCACACTGAGGAAAAGGAAGACCCGACGACCCTGAAGGACTTCCCTTGCCTCTCATGTCCCTCGCTCTCCCATCTATATCCCGTGCTCTCCCTTGGCCTATAAAAGGGAAAGCAGGGCACCACATCATAGCAGAACCACTAGCATCGAACCTCGAACACATAGCTGAGCAGCGACCGAGCTCTCGACACCCATTCGATCTTTCCATCTGAGACTTGGGACCTGTCCCTCTCTCACCCATTTGTAACCCCTACTACGAACTTTTCAGTGCTAATAACACGAGCAGCAGCCACGAACTGGACGTAGGGACATTCTGCCCAAACCAGTATAAACCTTGTGTCTTTTTAGCACACCATCCGGGCCAGACACGCAATAATACAATTTTACTCGTTGGTGTTTACTCGAAACACCGACAGTTGGCGCGCCAGGTAGGGGCTTTTGCGCGTTCCGACATTAACATTAGGGCATGGATGGCTAGTCACGGCATCAGCTGGGTCCCCAGCGCCAAAAGATTACACCGCCTCAAGACGCTGCAAGAAAGAAAAGCATGAGTCACGATGAAAACAGAGAAAAATAGAGAAAAAAACAGAGGAGTTGGTGACTTACATTGGCGCTGTTGGGCGGCGGATACGTTTGGGGGGCGAACCCCTAGATCCCTGCTCCACCTCGTCGGGGCAGGGCCATTTCAAGCCCGCTCCCTGCTCCCGGGCAGAGGGGCTCGCCCCTTTGCATCTTGGGGCGCGACGGCGGAGCCACCCTTCTTCGCTGGCAACTCGGGAGCGGCGGCAAGCCCGCTCGCCCCTGTTGGCTCCTGGGGCAGGCCGATGGTCCGGCCCATCTCCGTCGGCCTCTCGGACGCGCCCTCCCCTCCATGGCACAGGAAGGGCCTCGACCCCTGCAAGGATGAGCGGATAACTATTAGCACATCCTCGCTCTCTAGGTCATCATGCTCGGTGTCGTCGACTACCTCATCATCGTCGTTGTCGCTGTCAGTGTTCTCCCCTCTCTCCCATGCCCGCAATTTTTGCTACCTCTTCTTCCTCTCGTCCTCCTTCGCCTTCCTCTGCCGCTCGGCCTCGACACAATTCGCCGCCCTCATGAATGGATCCCTTGGCAGCGAAGCCGGGTGATCCATAAGGATGAGGTCCCTCGGCTGGTGCCCCCATCTCAATGTTAGTGTCAAGGGGTCGGGAGATCAATTGAAGAGGAGGCATAAGGAAAGGAAACTTATGAAGACGATGTAGCCTGGTTCCGGCCGCTTCGGAGGGTGCCCTGGCACCGGGTACACAAAATCAAGGGGAGCGCCCGCATCGTCCCACGAAGGCTCCATCGCCTCCTTGATGCGCTACGCGACTTCGGAGGGGGAAAGCGCTCCCTCGGCAAGCGCCATCCGGTCGAATGACGCCTCGGGCGCCATCGCGTACAATGGGAGCGCGCGCCTCATCAGTGGTGCCACCCTCCCCGTGTGGTAGGCCCCGATGATGGCCAACCCCTTCAAGCCTCTCTCCTTTAGGATGCCGAAGGTGGCGAGGTGGTCCCAGATCTTCTTGTCCTTCTCCGGGACACCCCAGTTCCTCCATGAATCCAGGGCCTCGTCGATTAGGTGCCCGGTGAACTCCGATAGGGGGGCGGCTGCATCGTTCTTGAGATAAAACCAATGTGAATGCCACCCCTTGTTGGAGGTCAATAGACGCATTGATGGGTACTCGCCGACCTGGTTGTTCCAGAGGTGGATGCTGGTGCATCCCATCGGCCTGTTCAGCTCCTTCTTCTCCCTCTTCTTCTAGAGGGTGACGGTGAAGAAGTACCGCCATAGATCAAAGTGGGGACTGATCCCCAGGAATCCCTCACACAGGGCGTTGAACGCTGCCATGTGCTGGATTCCATTGGGATTGAGGTG